TGTAGACATCATTTGTTATTTTTAAAAGTTCTAATAATGATATGTATATCCGAGCTCAAAATCCAGCAAATAAGTTATGACTTAAATTCGCCACATGTTAACGAGAGTGACTCCATTAAACCGCCATTGAGAATAAGGGAGATTACACATATGAAAGCAGTGTGATCAGAATACAATCCTTCAAATTCAATTATATTCACGTTCAGCATTATTCGTACATTGCATTTGTGCGCATTGTTTTTATAACTGGGAAATCCCTATATTGCCATCCGGTATTTAGTGGAATAACAGTCGCTAACGTGTGGCCGCAGATAATTTAACTCGTTATATATTTGCTGATAATAGAGCTATCTAAAAGAAATCAAAAGATATCTAAAACTAACTTTTATGATTGCATGGCTATATGAAGAAAAAGGCGCATCCGCGTTTTTTTTTTCTTTGACTACCAATTACCGTGTTTGCTGTATAAAATTTTTTGTTAAGCACATTGAAAAAGTTGTGCCATTTTCTCGTGACGAACGCCTTGGATGGCTCACATTCTGTCCAACAAATCTGGGTTCAACAGTGCGTGCTTCTGTTCATATCAAACTGCCGAAATTAATGGCCAGAATGAGCGAGTTTAAGGTAAGCATTCCAACACTTTTTCCTGCAAGTTTAAAGAAGTTTCTTGTGTCGTCTCACTTAGGCTATGTGCGATAAATTGAATTTACAAATACGTGGGGTACATGGAGAGCACTCAGAGTCAGAAGAAGGAGTTTATGACATCTCAAATAAGGTAAAGAGTGTGACATCGTCCTCCCAAGGTTCAATGTCTAAATACAGGCTCGTCTTGGTATTTCCGAGTATCAAGCTGTGAAACAGATGTATGATGGTGTGAAAGAGCTCATCAAAGCAGAAGAAAAATTATAAGAACTACTTTCATATCGTCACAAGCACTTTTTCCATTTCATATGGTATCGTGAAGAAGTCGTTCGGCAGTTCGGCACTCCACCACGTCGCGCAAACTTCTTTTAGAGAACGGGTTTGAATGCTCATCACAAAGGTCATATCCTCTCCGCACGATAGGGCCTACTGAGGATACATAGTAGGCAAATGGTATTGTGCCAAAATCACGGAATCGCCTGAAAACAGGTATAAGGGGAAATTCGGCATGCTGATCACGAAAATCTTATCCGTTCTCACGGTAGGGCTTACTGTACGATTATGAAGATAGCGGTTAGGCTAAAATTACAACGGCAGAAACGGGTTCAGTGAATTTCACTGCTAATTACGATTAGACTGTGGATTTTTGGATTAGTTGGCTTAAGTTCTTAAGTAATAGCTAGTGTAAGGACTGATCCT